TGAAGATCCACGTTCCAACATGTATCGTCTTTATTTTGGAAGCTCTTATGAATCAGAGCTGGGAAATGGAACTCCTTCAGAACTGGTAAAACGCTAGCTTGATATTTTGAGTTTTATAAATACTAACAGTTGTGAAGCAGAAAAGCTGAACCAGGCAAATGGTATGGTCTTATACCTACTGCTATGTCTGCTTTGCCCTTCAAACACTTCATCCTGCACCAGGAGGGGGAAGAAGATGGAAGGATGTTATATGACAAAATACAAGATGGACTTCTCTGCCACTTTGCAGTATTTCAAAATCACAAACTATTGCTTAATACCTTATAACCAGGCAAACTGCATTCATGCTAGATCCTACTGCCTGTTCTGATGGCTTGTTGCCTTCCAAAGTTTAATTCTTCACTTTTGGGTGGGGTTTTTTTGGTTTGCTTTTTAAAAAAAATCTAGTTGTATTACTTAACAATGACCATCCAGCTTTCACGAATTGAGTCCTAATCTTAAGAACGAGCAGACAGTTTTCCGTTCCCAGTAGAGTGTGCATTAATGGAATAATCTGACTGTGGGATTGTGAACAGCAGAAGTAAACGTCAGCTGCCATCGTTGCTCTGCAGGAGCAGAATTCCTGTTGTTGTAGTGTCACACTGCACGGAAGGCAGCGCGTTGTCTGGCGGGGTTGCAGACCGGGATGTGCGTGTTGGCTGCCCAGCGCCTGCGCGGTGCTCAGCTGGCCAGCGCCTCTGGGTGGGCTGCCCCCGAGCTCCTCGTGGTGGGCGGATGACTTCAGAGTTCACATCATCCATGGAACATCCATTTTCAAGATCTGTTGTAGAATTGTTATTATGGAGTAGTTATTGAAAGTGTTAAACTTATTCTCAGAACTGTCTTGCACCGTCTTAAAGCCAAAAAGAGCTTACCTTGACACTGGAGAAGCAGTCACTGACTGCCCAGGTGCTTTTGTATGTTTTGTCTTACGCTGTAGATGATAGTGTTCAGTTGGGGAATCTTTAGAGACTTCAGTTTTTCTCTGGCTGTGAAAGTTCTTCAGCAAGGCTGCAAGGACTTTGCTCTCTTAAAGCTGATTTTGAGAGCTGCATATTTTATCAAGCGCACAGAGAATTTGGAGGTGATGAATATTTAAATTATGAGTCATTCCAAAGCAAACTACGTAAACTCGCCCAGATTTCAGAACTGCTGATTTTCATGTGTAAATAAAGCAAGGGACTCTGCAGGCCTTCATTCTTTTTGAGATAGGCCATTGCAAAAATCATTAGAAGCACTTCATTTTCAGAATTGTACTTTTCCCCAAGCACCTTGGCAAAATAACGTAAACCTTGCTGTTCAGAAAGTTGCGCATGAGATATTTTTGAGAGAAAGTGCTCTTTTTGCCACTGGGGGCAAGCTTACACTGAATTGTAGGCTAAATCTTAACGGTGGAGTCGCTCTTTTGGATCCCTAATGAGTTAATCTCTTTCTCCCTGTGGTCAATTTAGAGTTCTTTGTGTTTGTCTGGACCAAACTCCATAACTCACGATTTTACCAGCGTGGCCCAGAGAGACGCAGCAGCGTCGCAACCTTTGATGCTTAGAACAGCTTCTCAGGAAGACTCCCTGGAAAATAACCCGGAGCAGCAAACAGAGCAGCTGAGGATGGAGATCAGCGCTATCAAAGCCAACTACAGAAGCAAGAACGGAGTATGGCAGTTTTTTCAGTCTTAACACTTTTCTATTGTTTATCCATGCTTCTTGGTATTTCAACAAGAATTTCTGCAATTAAATACAATGTGACAGAGATAGCAAAGGTAATCGATACCTAGTTTGAGGAAAATAAGGCAGGTGTTAACTAACTAGCTAGTTACTTCTGTGTTATTAACGGGGGGGAGCCGGACTGTATTTATAATTTGCCTGTACTGGTAATGAGGAGGTTCTGGAGCTACTGGTGTTACTGGCACTCTGTTTCTGCGGAAGTTTTTCATTGTCTGTTCATGGCTCTGTTTTCAAGGAGGACAGCACCCTTAATCAGTCAGCACTTGCCAAGAACACTTTAATTATTACCCAGTCCCATCTGATGACTGCACTTGAGGGTATAAGACCATCCATTAGCCAAGATGACTGGAAGAATTTTACTGAACTGTAAGTAGTAAATATTTCAGTAATTGTGCATTCAGTGGAGATATGGTCTTTTCACATTACTTATTCATCAGAAGCACAACAGTTATTGAATGTGGGGAATGGCAGCGGAGTTGAATAGCTTCTGACAGCAGGGTTTTTTTTCAGAAATCTGAAATTGCATCCTGAGAAAGGAGAAAATATTTTACCAGTGCGTTGTCTTTTATTGTTTTTTATTAATGTAGGACCTAGAAATTCCAATTACAGGACCGAAAACCCTTGTAAAACCCTTGTATTATGTTAAGAGCTATACCAGTACAAAGAGGCACCAATTATTTAAGACTTAGAGCTACGTCCTTGCTGCTCTCACTGAGTAACAGCCCCTCGTATTTTCAAATTGCTGGTGTTTGACTCTGTAACGGTCTTTGTAGCTGCCACGTTTGGGAACAGGCAGTAGTCTGCACAAGGACAAAGACACAGAAAAGGAGAATGTGCCTCCTTAGACATGGAACCGACTGAAGCAAAAAAGCTGGAAACTAGCACGAGGATGTTCTGTGAGCTCATGAGGGGCTGCTTCTGACGTGAGGAGTTGTCCTCCTCTCAGCTGATACGCAGATAGGCGGCTCTTACAGCAGGAAGGGACAGGAGAGGAGAATGAGCGTCTGCACTACCCTTGTCCCACCTCCCCACCCTTCCTACCCCAAAAAACGTTTAAAAAAATAGCAAAGGAAACAGGGCAGAGCCAGGTGTGAGGAGACATACGCTCTTCATTTCCATAAAAAATAAACGTCTGTGGTTCTGTGCTGTGTTGATGTGCATCTGAAGAGGAATATGCAAAGCGTTTCATTGGAATTTGTGAGTATCTTTTTATGTTTCCAGGTATGATAATTTTCAGAACCCCAAGAAGAGGAAGGGACAAGTTGTCTCAACATTCAGACCAGGACAGAAAATTACTCTAGCGTAGTACCTTGTACTGCTTGTAATTGCTGAACTTTAACTGGAAATAACTAATGAGATTAAATCAGATTATTTATATTCGTATGGATTTATTAATGCAGCAGTTGAAGATAAGTTTCTTTTAAACTTACATGCTGTAAAATTATGTCACATTTTATTTTGAAGAAAATTATCTTCCTTCAGATTGATATTAAATTTTTGAGAGAACATTGATTACATTCTGTCCTGTTGTTTATCACATAAGATTTTTAATTTATACTTTTTATCAGTATAGTTCCCAAAACCTGACGATGGTTTCCTATTCCTGTTTGCTCACAACAGATCGATTTTGTTTGAATAATACCTAATGGTGGAAATGTTTTCTAAAGATTCTATAAAGCTCTTCTCTAATAGCCTTTGGAGGGGTGGAGAAGGGCGGTGCTGCCTGTTGCATTATTTATTTTATTATTTGTTTTAGTAGGCAACTAGATTGATACTTCCAGAGTAACTATGGAGTCAGTTTTTTCCTTGTTCACCGTGGTTGAGGTGGGTTGAACAGGTAACCAATTTGCTGCAGAGGAGCAAATCCTTCCCTCTCAGGTGCTCCTTGGTAACTCACATTTACACCGTGGAAAATGCAAGTACTTGGAAGTAATTTATCTCCTCATGGAAGAGGGCCAAAACCCATGGACACTACTAATGAAGTGCAGCAGCTGGCAAGGTGTCACCACTCTGCTTTATGTGTCAAAACTCAAAAACTTCCTTTGTTTTATTTTTCCACATGTCCAAAAAAAAAAATAAAGCTCAAAAGATCTGTAAAGGTAAATATAAGGCCACTCACAGCTCGTACCATTCATAGGCAGCAGGAACCACCCCAGGGAATTCAGGCCATACAAGCAGATCTCACAGTGTTTGGAGCTGACTGGCTTGTAGATAATTTAGTGCAGAAAACTTCAACACTGCTATTTTTAGCATGTGGCACATACCCTGTTCTGATACCTAAATAATTTCATTGGTGTACCGAGACCGTCAATATAGAAAATTAGTCTTTGTTTTCCCTTAGCAAATGTGTTTTGGTTTGTTGTTTTTTTCCCCATCAGAATTGCTGATTATATAATATATAATATATAATGGTATTATATATTATATAATATATAATACCATTATTAATTGCAAAGACTTAAAAAACAATTTAAAATTGTTTTTAAGAGACCAAGCTAACAGACACACTACTAGTAATGATGTGAAACACAAATCACACCTCAGCGTTGGCCTGCTCAGGAAATGAAGACATGTGTCTGCCATCAGGATGGCAAAGCCAAAAAATACATTTTTAAATCTGTATTCAGCTTTCCAAGCAATTTATCCCCTCATATAAGCAAAGTCCCAAGGGAAGCTACGTATGCAGGCGCACATTTCAGATTCAGCTGAAAAAAATTCCCTTACGAGGTGACTGTTCTCTAAATCACAGAATCGTGGATGATAGGTTTTAGTCTGGAGAAATCCAAGCAGATCTCTTCTCTCCAGCGCAACAAACCTGCTCCCCGCGTGACGGACCACCCTGAGTGTTTATTCAGAGCTAGTCTTCAATTATTTCAGAAATAAAAACTGCAGTCACAGCTAACACACATATAAAGTGCTGGATGGTTAAGAGTATGTCGCAACTCATTTTCTGGAAAATAAGTTAGAAGGTAAAAACACTAAAGGCAACTCTTAGAAGACAATTATTTGCTCACCAAAGTCGCAGATGACACGAAGCCTGTGGTTCTGACCCAAACTGAGGAATAATGTCTGGAGAAGGGAGCACAGAAATGGTGCACCAAAGGGACAGAAAATAAATAAATACCATGATCCATGATTAAAACGCTATAAAATGTTCATTTTATAAGTTCTTGTATGGGGTTCACAGACCCGCAAATACACTCAAAGCAACTTCTCCAAGGTATTCCTTTAAAAAAATTATAAATTATTGGTAACAGTTTCTTTAATGGAGATTGCAGGCGTAGGTCCCACATGAGTCCAGATATAGCCCTTCTCTGGTCGTGTAG